ATATCCTGAAGATGTCTAAAGGCAGAATTAATGGCGTCTTAATCAAATTCTATGTCTGACCTAAAGACGTCCAAATGTGTCATATAGATATTTTCAGGAAGCATTTGGGACAGTCTCAGGAAATGTTAAGGACATTTTTAGGACATGTTTGGGACATTCTCAGAACGTATTTAGAACATTTTTAGGACACATTGATGACATGTGTGGGTCAGTCTCGAGAAAGGATTAGTGCAGTATAAAAATATTTTTATAAACACCTAGATTGTGTTTGAGATTATTTGAGGAGTTGTATCAAAGAACTCGCTCGACGCTCGAACAAAAGAGATAATACCAGCCAGGTAGCAGTGAACGACCCACAGGCCCTCACTGCTGCCTGACTGGTATTATCCCTTTTGTTCGAGCGTCAAAGCGAGTTCTTCGATACAACTCCTCATTTAACAACTAGACAAACTATCCGCGCGCAAGCGCGCGGGAATGTTGTATGGAACTGCTTATTTTAAACAATATAAAGCCATTTTAATTTAAATACTTTTTAAAGAAATAATAATAACACACTGAAAAAAGTTTTACTTGAAACAGCGATAAGTTTCTCTAGAATAGCGAAAGTATTAATTGAAGCACTGAAAAATTTCGCTAATAATAAGGTGAAATCTGTAGTTTAGCCTGGTAAACATTTTTTATCGTACATAAGGAAAAAAAATTAAATTAACATCAGATTTTCTAAAGTCAAAATAACGAATTCAACATAGACTTTAATTATCTCAAAACTTTACCAAATTCACCCCAGAAATCACTGAATCTGATAAATTAGAAGAAAGTCAGACAATGGAAGTTCTATTTTAAATTTCTAAAATTTAATGTTATATTTAACGCATTAGAAATAAATTTCAAGTGAATCCGATAAATTTTGTTAAAATACTATAACTGCTGTTAAACTTTCTTGTAGTAAAACTGAATCTCGCAAAAATTGTTACATATTTTATACTTTTATTTTAAAAATAATTTTGATAACAAAAATTTTAATTATACTAAAAATTAAAAAAAAATTATTTATTTAGCATTTTAAACAAAGAATTCCGTATGTTTCGTAACTAACATAACTGTTAGTTATTTTCACAAATAAAGTTTTCCACAAGAATTAAATTATTTAATCTTATAAAATCTTCATAATATTTATTATATATCGAAAAAATTAATTATTATTTTAAACAATGTTCATAAAATTCTTATGAAGAATTCAATTACTTTTAAAAATAACAAAATTTTGCACAGAAATCCAATTCTTTTTAAACATTTTAATCAACTTTTCCGCAATATTTCAATTATTTTCAAAAATAATAAAATTTCTCAAAGGAATTAAATTATTTTTGAAAATCTTAATAAAATTCTTAGCAACCATTCAATTATTATTATAAATAATTCTTGAAAAGAATTCAATTATATCGATAAATAAGAAGATTATTCCCGAAAGTTAATTTTGAGGTATTTTAATAAAATTCTTTGCAAAATTCAATTATTTTCATAAATAACAATATTCATCACAATAATTCAATTATTTTTAAAAGTAATAAATTTCTTTTTGGAAATTGCATTATTTTAAAAAATTCTAATAAAATCGTTCGCAAGAATTCAATTATTTTCATAAATAATAAAATGCTTTTTGGGAATTCAATTATTTTCAAAATAATTTAATACAATTTTCAACAGACATTCAATTATTGTAAAAAATTTTAATAAAATTATTTGTAAAATTTAATTATTTTTAAAAACTTTTCGCAATTCAATGATTTTTATTATCTACTATTTTCATAAAATTTCCAAACAGAATTCAGTTATTTTAAAAAATTTTTTCATGAATAATAAAAACTTCTAACAAAAAAACGTAAAACTAATTTTACGCAAACTCTAATTTAAGTAATTGAATTCCTGAATTCAATTACTTAAATTAGAGTTTGCGTAAAATTAGTCGAAAGAAATCAATTACCTATTTAAAATTTTTTATAAAATTCAAGAATGACATTATTTTTATAAATATTAGTTAAATTCTTTCATGAATATTAAAATTCATTGCAGGAATTCAATTTATTAGCAGGATAAGAAAAACGTAAATATTTTTGATGAAAATTAGAAAAAAGGCAGGAATATAAAAAATATGGAATGGAATGTTTGTCATACTTAATATTGACATTATTTAAATATTGAGAATAGATATTTGATATAATTTATTTTTAATAGAAAAAATTAACAATAAATTTTCATTGATTTGTGGAATATTCTATGAATCACGTATTTGGTGACTTTAAAATTAAGACATTTTAAAAGTTTATAAAATAAACATTAGATAATAATTCTATGCAATAAAACTTTTATTAAATTATACTATTAAGTAAAATAATATTTCGTGGATATAAATATACAAATATTAATTAAATTTCACAAAAAAGATGAAATATAAATATTGTATTTTTAATAATTAGATATATTACTTACAATTTTGCAAGTTAAAAATTATACAAATTTATAAATAGATTTTTATACAAATTATAAAAATAATTATTTAAAATTAATAATTAATAATAATATAATATTTACCTAATAATAATTGTATACTTAGGAAATGTAGAAGTAAAAATAAAAATGAATTAAAATAAATTTGATCAAATATCTTTTAACAATATATTAAAATAATGGTAATATTAAATTATGGACACCTATACCTTTAGACTAAATGATAAAATTATTTAGTTAATTAAAAAAATTCAATACAATAAATTGTATATAGAATTAAATATTGACAACAGGAATGCGTCTTGTAAACTCTACATAGGTACCTAACCGTTAAAAAGTTTGACATTAAAAAAAAAATAAAAAATGACAATAACCCACAAAAATTAATTTTCAAAACAAACAAATGAATGCAGAAAATTTGCTAACGGAAAGGAAACTTACGATTATTATAATGTATAATTTTAACAATAATTACGTTGAACCATTACATTAAAACATTTTTAGGATATATTGGGGACACTTAACAGATATTCTTGGGACACTTATAAAGACATCTATGGGCCAGACATAGAATGTCTTAAGGATGTCAAAAGGTCGTCTTTTTCAAGTCCTTAAGACATTGAGATCTGGTATACCTTTAGAATATTTTTAGGACATCCATAAGACAACCTAGTGCCTATTGGGCACTATGAATTCATCGAAATTTTTGCGGTGACGTGCACCCAAAAATCCTGTGCCTTTGATGAATTTCACAGTGCTTGTCCGATTGTTTAAACCTGTCAAACAAGGCACTGTCGTTATAAGTGAAACCTTCTTCCCGTGTAGTGTTAATATTAATCAATCAACTTCGAATTTTCGAAAAAAAAAATTTCTTATATTTCAGTCAAATTGGGGAGTGGCGTGAACAAAATTTGAAAATATAAATTTCCCATGTATCTTATGGATAACCTAGTGTAGATATATATTTGTAGTATATATTTTTTAGTTAGGTTACACATACCAATTTTTGTATTTCCTAAAAGAAAAGAAAAAAGTGTTAGTTGTTAAAATGAGAATAAAAAGTGTTCATAATAGTTATTTTCGTAACAAGGGCGCAAAATAGGTGATTTCGCCAAAGTCGTAATCACCTTTGCGCCATGATGCGAACATAATTTTTTGTCCTACCTGTACGGAAAGTATGTCATTTCGGGCACTTAAGGCGGGCGCAAAGTAACACATTACGCCCGGGAGTGAGGGAAGCGGGCGGAAAAGTATTTTGCGCCCGCTTGTATGATGTCAGCGGGCGGTAAAGTATTTTCCGCCCGCTTCCCCTACCTCGGAGCGGGCGGAAAAGTATTCTGCGCCCGCTTGTTAATTATTCGATTTTCTTCATTAAAATGCGACATTTTCGACTTTCTTTTTATGTTGACTATAGAACTGCAAACATTTTCAACTTGTTTTATTTTGTCTATAAAAATTTGCAATTTTTTTTTATTTTCTCTAAAAAAAATAATGAGACATTTGGTTTTGTTCCTATTTCCTTTATCAAAATTGTCAATTTTAAAAGTTCTGGTTTCAGTTTTGTTCAATTATTAATTACTACGTTCTAAATAAATACTATGTTTCCAGAATACATTGTTTTTATTTTTTCTATTTTAAAACTTCTATCATTATAGACTTCATTCGATATAATGTTTATATAGAGCTTAATTTTTAACTAATATGAGCGTTTAATCGTGCGTGCCCTCAATGCCATACTTTCCATGCAGTTAGGACAAAAAATATATATTAAGTATATAGGGTAGTGGCAACAGTGAAAGAACATTTAAGGAAATATTTACTTTCAATATTTTTTACTTTTAACTAAAATACTTGAATTTCGTTTTAAACATATATACCATGAATAGCAAAATTTCTAAAGAATTTGAAGCCTATGATCCAAAGTTTATAAATATAACATAATATCTCAAATTTCAATCGAATATTAAAAAATTTCCATTTTACCAGTGAAAGAACGTTGACCAGCAAAAGAACAGTTGTATTTTCCAGTGAAAGAATATATCAAATTTATATTAATACAGTGTCTAAGGATAACAAAAATGAAATTTAAAATGGTACAAATATTCCGAAACAATTTTGCAACTTACTATTATTCACATTTTCCTGATTACGCACCCAGAAATATTATATTTAATTGTACCTGAAACTTGTAACTTTTTTTCTGTTTATACTTCGTTCATTTGTAATGTTCATAACCCACCAAAAAATTAACAAATTATTTTTAGAAATAACTTTTATAGTGAATCGTTTTTTATCATAAACTATATTTTGAAGAAATGAGGAACTAAAACATATTTTTTTATAGTGCTGAAAGTTATAATTTGTGAAATATCGTGATAAATAATCAATTTGTTCTTTTACTTGTGTCAATTCTTTCACTGGTGCAACTACCCTATATTGAAATTTATCTTTATGGAAACCGATATAAATGTTTTTAATTTTACATATACTTACAACTTCCAGAGAACGCTAAAAAATACAGTAAAATAAGTTAGTTACTATTAAGTTCGAAGTAACAAAAGTTTAAAAAATTAAGAATTATGCACAGAATCATGAAATTTAGTTTCAGACTAATGATTTGTAAACTTTGATTTGAGACTAGTTGCTATAACCGTACAGTAGAATGTTTAATTTTTTATTAATTTTCTAAGCTTTGTACTATATCCAAAGTTATGGCAACATATTGTAGAGTTGTTGGATACAGATGCATAAATTAATAATATTTATTTTTAATTAGGTCACACTTACTAATTGGTCCCTATTCTAAAGAAAAGAATCCAAGAATGTAAGATGTTAATAATTCATAAGATTATATTATCTAAAAGTGTTTGTAAAATATACTAATAGTATGTAAAAATTAAATATCATCTTAATTCAATGCGATATAAACATTTTTATTTTTTCAAGTACTTACATTTTTTAAAAAAATCTGAAAAATTAATTAAAAAAATACGATTATATTATGTTCAGATTACCATGTGTTTATAAATTTCGACAATTACATGTATTGACATTTTTGGAAAAATAAGTATCGGCTGTGATGCATATATGAACATAAAGCTATTTGCACATATCCTATATTAACTTCAATAAAAATAAGAGAATTTTAATATATACACTAGTCCATAATAACTAGCTGTCTGTGGCATACTGTCTCGTTTTTGTCTTCAGGTGTTTATAAAAAATAGTATTTTCGATATTACCTATGTTTTTTATTACACTATTTCTTAAATCTTCTATATAAAATTATCCGTACACTTTAAAAACTGTACGTCATATTGAAGGACTTACAAAATCCTTATTTTATTTTAACTTTCTATCAATATTGAATAGATTTTTCAAATTAATTTCCATTTATTGATCTATTTCCATTTTTTAAAACATAATTTAATGTTGGTTTATTATATTATTCTTACTTCTGTTTGTTCAACCTGTAAAGGAAAAAACACAATGTCTTATGTAAGTTGCTGCTTTAAAAATAGAAATATAGTTTTCAGGGTCCATTCAAAAAATACGCAACGCTTTTTTGGAAAATTTAACCCCCCTACCCTATATGAAATGCACTATTGCATACATTAGCACCATTTTTTCTGCTGACTGTAAAAAATAGTTGACACCCTGCCCCTGTAAACGTTACGTATTATTTTAACGGCCCCTCAAGACATATTTTTAAAAGAGCAATTCCACGGGAAGTGATCTGAAGAATTTCGATGATTTTAGCAATATGAATAATACTTACTGAATTTGTTCCTTCATATACATGGAATAAAAATGTATAAAAGTTTTTTCAAAATTTTTTGAGTTACCGCTAACTCAAAATTTTGGTCGGTTTTTCAAAAAAGGAATATAACTTTTTTCGTTGTTAACCGATTAATATAATTTTTTTTGAAAAATAGGTACTCATAATAAGAAGCTCTTTAACCCATTAAGGAAGAGAGTTCAAAATTTGTACACAATGTTGAAGGACATATTTCAATATTAAAATGTTACAAGAAAAATTTTTGAATACACATCTCTTATGTTTCAAGAGTCCCTCTTTCGAATGGCGTGCTCAAAAAAACTAAAAAATGTTAAATAAACAATTTATACAACATTTTTTAAGAAAAAACACGATTTTTTAAGATTTTTTAATTGGTTTTCTTAATTTTTTTATAGCTAAACCCTTCAACATACCTTCTATTGTTATAAATATCGCGTCAAAAATAGTACGGCTACAAGATAGAACTATTTTGGGAATTAAATTTGTAAATGTCTACCAGAAAATGGCGACTAAAGGGGAGGTTACTGTAATAACGTGATACCAAGTAACTTCTAATAAATTAAAGTTCAATTTAATAATTAACAAAAGAGATTTATTAATATATATAAATGCACGGATACAAAATATACAATCGTTGAGAGTCGACCAGAGTTCGACATAAACTAAAGTAAAAACTATATACTGTCTTTCTATGTGTTAATACTACACAGGGTAGCAGCACTTGATAGAGAAGTGTGTTACGTCCGTTGTGATACCCGCTTACGTTCTTACACTTTTTCCTCCTAAGATTACTAATTATCAATTTTGTCGAAGAACGAATGTGATCAAATGTACGAAAATGAAGGTTAACGAATTTTGTCGAGTGTTGACGAAAAATATAGTATGACGAATAAAATTTACGAAACGACAAGCCAGTACTCTCGTGACTAGCGAATAAGAAACTTATATCTATTATAATCATAAAATTAATAACGGAGTGTTTTTATATCAAAATAAATATTTGTATTACTTTGTTTCTTATTGAATCAAGTGGAGTGTGATTTAATAAAGGATTGTTATATTAAAATCAGACTTTATGTATTTATTGTTTAAACTTTCTCACATAGCAATTTTATCAAATTGAATTGCTTTGTGAACCAATTTTTTATATATAAGAGACTTCTTTCCCTCAAATTTTTTCAAAAAAAATTCAAAATTGTTGAAGATACGCTATTTATTTATTTATTTATATGAAGATACGCACCATACTGCACAAGTCGTGTAGTAAAATTAAAAAATTTTGGGGGAAAGAAGTTTCTTATATAGAACTATAATCCCACGAAGTTTTGCGCAAATCAGCAGACCCTTTGCAAATCGTGATATTTCTGACGTGAAATACCTCATTATTCTTTAATTTAATTTCTTATTTACATTCGTGTTGTATCGTGAAGTTTTACAGTCCGAGACCTGATAAATAACGAGAGTATTAAATAAAGTATTGAAAATAATAATAATAATAATAATAATAATAATAATAATAATATTAAGTAAGTATTGAACCGCCGTTTTCTATCGTCGTCGATCCATTACGAACGTCGAAGGTATCCGTGGTTAGTATCTGGCTGGATCTCACCTGAGTTGTGATTATTATTCGATTTCGTGATTTGAGTCGTTTTGTTAATTGACCGACCGATACTGAATTCCCTAAGTTAAGGTCGCGTTACAATTTTGGCGCCCAACGTGAGGCCACGTTTTTGTGAGAGACGTCGTAATGGATTGAAGACGAGTGCTCACACGGGCGTGCGTGGTGGAGCAAAATTGCGTTCGTTTCCGTTTCCATTCACACGACCGCATGCTTTCGGAATCAGTCACGATGCGAAGTCTTGTTTTATTAGACCGTCAGACCACCGATCAAAAATAAAAAAAAAATTTAATGGTGTGTTTAGTGAAATAATTTGCAACGCAAAACGCTGTCATGGGACTGCGGCCTAAGAATGTGTTTATTTAACTGCGATGTAACTATTTTTATAACATAATATCCACGATAAAAGCATTTAAAATTCGGAAATTGAGATAGAAGCAAAATTGAAACTTTATGCTTTGTTCTATCCAATTGTCTCGATATTAAAAAAGAGAGAAAAACAAAGCAAGAGGTAAAATTTATCAAAATAGAAAGGAATGCGCTGCATCGGCAAAACGTCGTGTAAGCTCGAACTCGCCTACTATGAACCTTTCCCGCAACCCGAGTTCCAGGAATCATTGCTTGTAACTCGAGCTTCACATTTTCCATATATGAGGTAAACGTGTTGGCTAGTTGCCGATGAGACGCATTCTTTCTCCGAAATTTATTTATAAATAGACTTATAATGAATAAGTGATATTCCTAAGAATTGAACATCTTTTACCCCCATAATTGTCTACAAACTCTCCTACTTTTAATAATTCATTAGTATATAAGCCAAAGCTTTTTCAACAAAAATTGTCAAATGTTCCAGTGTGGTTTTATAGACCAGTAGTCATTGTAGAGCGACCCTTAAGTTATACAAAATTTATTGTATTCTTTCTTTAATCGGCAATTCAGTCCGCGTTGTACTCGATTATCGTGCAAGTATATTTTGTTATTTACTTAGAAACAAGTTTCTTTCCGTAAAAGGTGCAAGAAAAGCAAATTGACCCTTAGAATCAATAATTTTAAATGTATTAACTGTCGTATTTTGCGTGTCAAGTTTCATTAATTGTAGCTTTTCACTAATTCTTTCTTTAATCGTCAATTCAGTCCGCGTTGTACTCGATTATTGTGCAGGTTGCTTTTCTCACACTTAGAAACAAGTTTCTTTCCGTAATAGGTGCAAGTGACGATAAGTAACACTTAGAAGCAGTACTAGCTCTTGAAACAAACGCAAAAACCCTAAAGTTGTAAAAGTTACATAAGTTTAACATAACAAACTTTGTTAGTTTCATTTAATTGAAACAACATCTTGAAAACCAAACTTATACTGACCAGCGCTATAACCTGTATCCTACGACTAATCTGTAATAAAAGTAAGTAAGTATTTGTAAACATTATTTAAATATTTAATAAACATTGTTAAAAGGGAATATTATTATTTGTTGTTCACGCAAAACCCGTAGTTTTGACAAGTACAAACGATCCTACTTAAAAATAAAGGTCAAGCTTTACCAACTTGACTATAATCAGCCTACCATTCCTCCAAAATTCTATAACCTAACCTATAAAGTTGCCTTCTGCTCGAGATGTAACAGCTGATTTGGTGGCAGCGGTGGGATTCGTCGCTTTTGTTAGACAATTATAATAATTCCCGTTATGAAATACTACTTTCAAATTTCACAAATTATTAAAAGTGTTAATTAATAACTCAAAGTATTCTCTCTCTAACCGGCAATTCAGTTCGCGTTGTACTCGGTTATTGTGCAAGTTGTCAGTTTTAACACTTAGAATTGTTAGTTAGTTAGTTGCTCGATTTTATTAAAATATTACAAAATCCTGTAATTTAAGCTGTTTTTGCGCCGTCCGGCGAGTTTCAGCTTGAATTCAGAATAGTTCGCGCCGTCCGGCGGAACCGTTCAAGCAAAGAATTCATTTTTCTAATTAAGATAAATTGTGATATTATTATTGCGCCGTCCGGCGAATATTAATTGATCAAACGATAGTTTGCGCCGTCCGGCGAACCTATCATTTTATCTTATTCCTTCATAATTCACAAATATTCCTCAATAATTATAAGTTGTTTTTGAATATTTAAATTCTTAATAGACAAATTTTATCAAAATTTTAAAGTCACAAAATGCCTTTTTGCAGTTAAAAAATTATGTTTAATAAAATTCCGACATCAAAGAAAATTAAAAATCGAGGAGGAATAAAAGCACAAAGAAGATTTAATATCGAAACTTCATTAGAATCTGCAAAATTTGTAGCAAATCTTGACATTAGAATCTTGAATTATTTTGCAAATCTTGACTATAATCAACACAATTATCCCTACGTCGAATTAATATCGGGTCATTTTAATTCACATAGAGGTAACTTTTTAATAAATCACACTCTATCGATAAATTTAATTCAACAATCAGCAATAGCATCATTTGTTTCAATAGAACGCGATAATTCAATTATATCTCGACAAGGTGCAATTCGTACTATTGGGAGCACAATAATAAAATTTAGCGATTTTTCTTTGAGATTTGAAGTCGACGCCTCTCAAGTTGATTCAGAAATTATCGGTATATTAGGAGCACCATTTCTTGATCAAATTTTGAAACTAGATATTTTGAAAGAATTGCAATCATTTACGAAAGAGAAATTTGGAGACGTGAACTATCAATTCAAAGACGATTAGGACGTCGCGTAGCTAATTTCTTCCGAAATAATTTATTTAGAAGATTTCCTAATATTCATAGGATTTTCTCATGAATGAACATGTAAACAATGTTTCGTTCAATTTAGAATTTATCCTAACATTCATATATCCTCTAAAAATTTAAAAGATAATAGAGGACTCTTCCTAATCAATCCTTCTTTGGATATTAATTTAATAAACGAAGAAAAATTAACTCTAGATACAAAAATAAATAGATCCGAGAAACGTATATTCAATTTAGGATCATTCATTACTTCTGGAACTACAAAAATAATAATTGCTACTAAAACAATTAATTTCAGAACTTTCATCA